GCATCCCCAGGGGAGAGCCGGCATACCCAGGGGAGAGCCGGCATTCCCAGGGGAGAGCCGGCATTCCCAGGGGAGAGCCGGCATTCCCAGGGGAGCCACCGCCTCGCACAGCGAAGGTGCCCGGCTGCTCCTCGTGCCTTTGAAGCTTCGCCTCCACTCACAAGGTGGTAATAGGAAGAAAATGGGAACAAGCTGAGATTCCAGAAGACAGGTTAAAAAAGAGGCAGTAAAAATGCGGGGAAAACAGGCAGTAAAAAGGGGGAACCACAGCAAGTTCTCACAGTTAATAATCCTGGAGCTTCTCTCATCTTTGGTATTTCTAAAAACCACCTGTCCCTTTAGTAAAGGGCTAATAATGGAACCGCTGTCTCCACAGCAGCTTTCAAGGGTTACTCAGGCGGTTACTCAGCTGGTAGGAAGTGAAAGAATTGTTCCGGTATTAACAGCTCTTATTTTTTCCCATTTTTCTAAGGCAACGCTCTCAAAAGGCTGAAAGAAACCCCAGGAGGAGGAGATAGAGCAGCAGGTATCAGCTCTTAATTAAAAAAGGATCAAAAGGGGAGGGGGAATAAAAGATGATATTATTGACCAGTCAGTGAAAAGCCTGATCCTGTAAATCAGTGCTCCAGGTAGCCCTTGTTACTAGGAGCAGCCCCTAGTGCCTGGTCCCTAGATTAAGGCTGTTCCTGCATCCCGGCTTTGTCGGATCCAGCTAGTGGCTAAACTGCTTATGGCAATTCCTGTAATTCCAACCCCGCGCGCGGGAAGCACAAAGGAGGGTCGGGGAGAGGATGTGTCACCAGCCCCAGCTACGTACAGAACTGTCACCCCCCCCCAACATCCGTCCTTCATGATGGCACTCAAGTCCAAAGACATCTAGGTAGAAATTCCCTAAAAGCACCTATATTAAAAAACAACAACAACAAAAAAAACCCCCGACACTTTCACTACACCCCCATTTTCTTTTGCTTGCTAGCTTAGAAAGTTAGGACTAAATATAACTGAAAGCCACTGTAGCCCTTTGAAACGCTGGTTTAAGGTTCTGCACTTAGTGTTGAGCACCATGGAAAGGTCACAGGAAGCGGAGATGGTTCATACCGAAACGCGCTTTGGGAAACCCCGGCAAATTAAAAAACAACATGTGCAAGATCCAGACTGGTCCCCGTTAGGCCCGAATGCTGATGGCCGCTGCCAGCAAGAGCTCGGAGTAACGCCAAGGCGGCATCGAAACGGAGCCCGCGCCCCGGGAGGGAATTACCCAAAGCTAGGGAGCTCCGGCCACGGCCCCAGCACCGGGACTGCGCGGGAAGGACGTGGGAATCGCGCTGGGGTGGAAACGAAGGCGGCCACGACCGCTGGGGATGAGCAGAGCCCCGCGGCCAAGAGAGGGCAGCAGCAGGAGCACGAAACCCACCCAGGCCAGCGGTCCCCAAGGCGCCCGCCGCA